CAGTGCGAGCTCGAGCGAAATCAGGACAACCCTGGACAAAGAACTTTACTTACTTCGTGGTGAACTCCCTGCACTCTGCCGGCCAGGCCGGGCTGTCTTTAGAATCGGTTTCGAATATATATATATATATATATAGATAATATATATATATATATTAATGCAAATAATTAATTATTGGTTGAACCCTAGAACCCCGAAGCCAATCCCAAAGCTACCCAACCCAAAACCAGGAGACGCTTCATCCGGCATACCATCGAGCTGCATGGTCTTTATCCCATGCTTTCTACGCACGAAGGCCGAGCCGCGGGCCCAATGGAACGGTGGAGGAGCTGACCCCTCAGCAGCGACGACTTGCGGTCGAACGTCCGGTTTTGAGTCGGTCATTTGCCACTACAGAATACAAGGGGGACTGGGCTTATCAAGATCAATGCTTTCAATTCGACAAGCGATCCTGGAGATCGATCTTTATATGCCACAAGTGCAATGCGGTGCGCAAGACAAGGCTCCAAAGGGTCGGGGCACCGGGTATATAATTCAGTCCCTCATTCCGTCGTATCGCTGCAGGCCTGGTGGGATCCTCTACACTGATTTTGGGTCGGCTTGGGAACACTACACCAACACGGAAGCAATGTTGCGTGTCATGCCTGCGGAGATGAACCCCTTGACGTTGGTGCCAGGATTCAGTATGACCTGTGTGCAACTTGAAGATTTAAATCCAACTTTATTATAAACCCCAGACCCGGATCCCCTATACCCTGCTGTATAAGTTCTGAAATCCCCATAAAGTACACATACCTGGCCCCTAGAATATATGCCCTAAAGCCCCTAAGCCCAATAAACAGGATGTGCACTTCAGGCGAATGTGTGCAATGCACACTTGCAATTTGGGAATCATGCAAAACTTGACAGCAGAGGGTCTTTTATGGCTTACGGAGCATAAAGTCTACTCGTCGAGCGACGACATAGCGGCGCAGCTTCACGGCTGCTACAACCAGTTCAGACGATGGTGCTCCACACAGGGCATAAGTACGTCTCAGAGGAGGTTTACAGCTGCATCCCTTCATCTGACAACCAAGCCTCCTGACTATCCGTACTTGGGGGCAAAGGCTTTCAACTGCCGAGTTGTGACAGCTTGGCTGGCAGTTTCTCAGCTGCTTATTAAATATATATAATAATCAACCTATATATAGATAGGTCTTTGGGATCAAGACTGTGGGGCTCTGTCTCCCAGGAAGCTTTGACGTGTACAAGCACCCAAACAATTCTGGGAGCAGCGCTGCCAAACGAATCTGTGGAAGAGCACGCACGCCGCCAGCGACTTTCCCACCTCGTGGTGAGCACTGTGCATCTCTGATTTGCAATGGGGTTCCGTCCGACTTTCACTTTAAATTAAAGCCCGATCAACCTTGAACTCCTAGAGTCCGACCTATAGGTACGAGCTGGCTTCCTGGCAGCTGAAGGTGGAGCGACTACGGAGATATCTTACTGAAGAGCAAGCGCTCGATGTCTACAACCACGGCACCAAAGATGAAATAGCTAGCGCTTATACCTAGAAACCGTTTTTATAATATTGCGACTAGACCCTGCAACCCAGTTGGCAAGCTATCTCGTCTGTGTTAATCCTAGGCCTGTTCTTCCTCAAACTCTACCGCGAATGTGCCTTCGAGTTCCAGCAGCTCAAGAAGATGCGGTTCCTGCTCCGCCCGAAAATGCATGCAACCAAGCGGATGACTAGAAACAGGCCCTGTAAGCCTCAACCCCAGTGGCTAATAGTGAATTCGGATTCCATAACCAATTATGCATATAGCCACCCTGAAACCTCCAGCCCCAAAGCACTGAAACCCATAAACCCTAAGGCCTAAACCGCAAGCCCTAAACCCTAAAATTTATTTAATGATGTGGCACTAGAGTTCGAAGCTGAGGCCATGGAGGAGCTCTTATGGGAGAGCTACACAGAACGAAGCTTACCTGAGCTTGGGATGAAAATTTTGTGGGACATTCTTAGGATATATATATATATA